GGGAGGGGAGGGGAGGAGAGGGAGGGGAGGGGAGGAGAGGGAAGGGAGATGTCTGTTAAGGTGGAGCCGGATGGTGGAAGTTTCCCCTGACAGCAGGCTGGGGTGGGGAGTGTTGACTTCATCAGTTTACTTTGTTTTTAGTGTTAGATATTCCTTCTGTCATTTTAAAAACAGGCCAGTGTGTCGGCTTAACCTGCAATCCCAGCGCTTTGGGAGGCTGAGGCCAGAGGATTGCTTGAGGCCAGTAGTTTGAAGCCAGCCTGGGTGACACAGCGAGACCCCATCTCAAAAATAACAAAGATTAAAAACCCTCTGACAACTGCCCTCAAGGGCTGTGGCCCTGGGGCACCCACCTCGAGTGGGGCACTCCGCCCCGCCCCCGTGAGCGCCCACCTGGTCCCGCTCCACGGCGACCTCCTCCATCTGCAGCAGGATGGCCTCGATGCGGTCCTTGTACACCTTGGAGTCCTTGCGCAGGGCCCGGCACTGCAGCTCCAACATCTCCTTCTCCTCCATGCACTGCAGGGGGTAGCAGCTCAGCCCCCAAAGGCCTGAGGCTCCCCATTCTAACCCGTTGGGGGTGCTCCAGCTAGGAGCTCAGGAACATGGGTCAGGTCAGTTGGGATGTTGAGGGAGGCCATAGGAGTCCCCAGGCCCCTACTGCCCCCCACTTCCACAACGCAGCAGCACAGGGCTCTCCCGCAGGCCTCAGGCACTGCTGTGCCCAGCTGCAATGAGCCCATGGCCTTTGCCATGGGGTGCAGGTGAGCAAGGAGTGGGTACCATCCACTGTGCCTCCAAGAGTGGGTGAGTGGAGACGCTGCCCTGGGGTCCCCGCACCCCACCTTCCAGACAGAGTGGGCGGAGGTCTGCCCACCCAGCCTGGCTTGGCCCCCAGGGGCCACGTGTCCCCACTGCGCTCATACCCGGGCATGACGGGCCTCGCCCTGGCGGAGGTCCTTGCGCAGGGAGAAGATGGTGCTGGCCTGCTCCTGATGGCCCCGCAGCGCCTGCCTCCAGTCCTCTTCCAGCACCTGGATGTAGGGGCTGCTCCTGTCCAGCTTCCCCTCCTAAAGGGGGCAAAAAGCAATGGCCCAGCTGAGAAGGCCCACGCCGCCCGGCCGGGCTGCACCCGCCCCACCTGCGCCTGCCCTGCCGGCGGCCCCACCTGAACCGAGGCCTCCAGCTCCTGCACCCGGGCCTGCAGCAGGGCCTTCTCCTGCTGCAGCTCCCACAGCAGCTCCTGGCTGGGCCGCTGCTCCATGGCGTGCCTGAGCTTCAGCGTGTGCTTGCGCTCCACCTTGCAATCGTCCTCGGCCTTCATGAGGCTGTGCTTGAGCCGGTCGATCTGCAGAAGGCCGGGTGAGCCCAGCCGTCCACTCCAGGTGCTGACAGCCGACCCACGGGGCCGCCCCCGACCTGCAGACCCCGCCAGGCCCGGCGAGGGGGGCCACCCTGGTTCCCTGGGGCAGCAGGCGCACCTCCAGCTGCAGGTCGCGGTTCCGCATGAGCGCGGTGCCCTTCTCCTCGCTCTGGCGCGCCAGGCGCATGGCCAGGTCATAGTTCTCCTCCTTGCAGCGCTTGAGCTCACGGCTGCCGGCCTCACACTCCTCCTTGAGCCTCTGCACGCGCTCCTGGTGCTTGCGAAGCAGACTGTCCTTCACCCGCAGCTCCTTGATGAAGTCGTCCTTGGAGCTCAGCAGCGCGGTCAGGTCCTGCACCTTCTTCTGCAGCTTCATGACCTCGGTCATCAGCAGCTGCGTCAGGCCTGACTCCCCGGACGCATCTGTGGGCCGGGCCAGTGTCAGGGCCCGCGCTCCCCCGCGGTCCAGCTCCATCATGCCTCGCACTGTGGCAGGAGCTCAGGACTCCTAGGCATGTGGGCCTGGCAGATGACCCAGCACCACTGCCCGGCCCCGCCGGCCCCAGCTTCCCCTTCACTCACCGATGATCATGGAGAAAACGCGGGCTGGCTCCTTGCCTGTGACCTTCTTGTACAGCTGTGGGTAGTAGAGCTCTAGGCTCTCCAGGAAGGCCACGTAGCCCTTGTGGCCTGTCCGCTGCAGGATGTCCAGGAGAACACCTGCGGGTCAGAGAGGCTGAACTAGGGACGGGGTGCTGGCGGGGCAGAGGGCTGGGGTGGGTGGGTCTGGGGGCAGGGAGAGGTGGAGGCTGGGTCGCAGAGGAGGTGTGCTGCGGTCTGGGTCATGGATGAGGCACCCTGAGGGTCTAGGTACTAGGTTGGGGGCAAAGTGCTGCCCACCCGCCCCTTGGCTGTTTCAGGAGTCCCTGCTGTGGTGGGAGCCCCACGGCCCCTCTTGGCAGCACCGAGCTGGCAACAGAGGGCTGGGGGGCGGGGCGGCCACGTCAGGGTTGAGTTTTCGCCTCACTGGGTGGCCAGGGGCAAAACTGGGCGGGGCTCCTCTGGGGTCAAGGGTCAGGGTCGCAGAGCCTGCAGCCACCTCCAAGCTGGCTCCTTGGTTGGGTTGGGGGCCGGGAGCCTGTGGGACAGCACTGACCCACTTTCCGTTTGCGGATGACCAGGTTGGGGTCACTGAGCACCTGCTCCTCATCATCGGGGTTCAGGACCTTGCACTGCCGCAGGTAGGGCGTGATGCGTGAGGGGTCGATGACAGAGGTGAGCGTCACCCGGAAGCCCTCCAGGGCACTCCAGCACTCATCATCGTTCTCGTAGTCTGACATGGCCCCAGCAGGCAGGCTGGGGAGAGTTGGGGCAGCCACTGAGCGTGACGCCGGCCCCCGCCCCCACGCAGGCCCTGCGCCCACTCCCTTCTCAGATGCTGGCCAGCACTCCCGTCAGGGCTGTCAAAGGGATCAGCCCGGGGGTGTCCGGGAGAGGTGCGCATTCCCACAGCCAGATCCCCCAGGGAGGCAGCAGAGACAGTGACCCCCTCCCCTTCCGGCCCCTCCACAGCCTTTCCAGCCCCTGCTGCTGCCCCTCAGCCATCCTGTCACCCAGGTATGCACCCAGGGAGGCACAGATGGGTCCGAAAGAGGAACGCCCCCTTCAGCATGACCCCTCTCTGGCCTCTGCATCCTGAACACTCCCAATTCACCCTGGAGCCCTGGAGCCTCCAAAGACAACTGCCTCCATGGGTGGAGTGCGTGGAGGTGTGAGCACCTGCCTGGCACTATGGCCAGGCCGAGCTGGGTGAGAGCGGGTTGGCCTGAGACCCTCCCACCAGCGCAGCAGTTGGGGAGCTGGTCCTTTTGGGACTTCCTCATTCCCCTGACCAACACCCGCTCACATCCCGGGTTGTGCTCTCCCTCCTCCATGGCCGGCTGCTGATGATGCAAGAGTGGCTGCCCAGCCCTGCCACAGCTGCCAGGGTCACTGTATGAGCTGGGAAGAGCTGCCCGCAGGAGTGTCTCTGTCACCCCCCACCCCACCCCCGGCCCCACAACCCTGGGAGGGGCTGTCAGTGTTGCCCCAGGCAGCCAGGAGTGCCGCTGTGGCGTTTCCTCCAGGTTCATAGGTGCTGGGCACCAGTGAATCCCTGGATTCTTCTCCTGCCCCCAATGAGGCCTGGCACACGGCCACCCCCTCCAGGACTATCTCGCTGGCCACAACAAAAGAACTACCCATGTTGGGACCAGCCACTGCGGTCCCTTTCTGCCAGCATGGTGGAAGCCTCTGCCGCTGAAAGCCACTCCCTCCGGGACTGAGACTGGGCCAAGGCGGGGAGCGCCCACACGGTTCTGCCTCCCACGCAAGACCCCGCTCCTCAGACAGCCTCCAGCCCCGCTGGGAAAGCTGGTTTCCAGCCCAAAGGAGCTGTGTCACCTCTCCTGGAGACACAGTTGCCCCAGGCTTGGTCTTTTGAGGATTTTCTCAACTTCCTCCTGTGCTTTGTCATCCCATTCAGGCCAATTTTGACAGACAAGGGGCTGAATAGAAGCACCACCCACACAGCGGACAGTCCTGGGAACACTGGGCCCCTTGCATGCCTCCCTAGTCTGAATCCAGAGTCCCACCTGCCTCGGCTGGTAATGCCACTGAAATGAACACGTCCCTGCCCAGTGGCCGTGAAACGGACGGGGCCGCACGCGGAGGCTGCCCAGCTCCCCGTGGGAAGCTTCACGCTTCTTTGGGGCATCAGCGCCAGGATCCTGAACGAGACTGACACCAACCTTCCTGGCCACCTTTCAGAAAAGCACCAGACCTACCCACCTGAGGGTCCAGGACCCACCTGACCGCAGACGAACCAGGAGCCTGGGCTGCGGAGCCTCTGGGAGATGCTCCCCGTGACTGCAGGGAAGAGGAGCACGCTGGGACGCCTGTGCACTTCCTGATGGGTTCTGGTTAACTCCACAGTCCCACCAGTCCTCCCACAGGGGGACAGTCCCTGGCGGCCTGCGTTCTGATTCGCCCAGCCCAGGAGGCCCCAAGAGGTGGGGCAGAGGGAAGTGGAAGTCCTCTGCCCTCCAGGGAGGCTGCTCCCAGCACTCCCAGCCTGTCTGGTGGCCATGGGTCCTGGGGTTGCCTTAGAGGCCTAACCCTGGCACCTGGCAAGCAGAAGAGAGAGCAGAGGCCCCCAGGGGGCCCGACAAGGTCAACCCACACCCAGCTGCTTTGGCCTGGTCACAGACTTCTGGAGGCTTTTTCAGTGGGGCTGCTGTGTGCGAAGGTTCACCTTTGCCAGCATCTGGCAGGGCTGGGCCAGCTGGTATGGGCCAGGCCCTCAGGGCACATGCAGGGAAGCACACAGCCACACAGCATGACCAGAACACACCTTGGTCACAAAAGGGCTGCAGCCCACCTCATGGCCCCCAGGAGGCCACTGCAGCCTGCCCGGGGCCACGGCACCAGCCACCACCCACCCAGCTGCACACGAGAGAAACATCCCTTCACCAGGATACACGTGGGGACTAAGGCCACTCCAAGAGTCCCCCAAACCAGCTTCAGAAGGGCCGGTGATGGCAGGGCACAGCTCCGCCCCCACCCACGATAGCAGGCAGCAGTCTGCCCTGAATCGTGCACTTCAGCGTGTGGGCTGTCAGAGCTTCATCCCTGCAGGTTTGGGAACCCCCAGGCCCCGGCTCACCCGGTAAAGCTGGTTGAACCGAGTTGCTGCCCAGCAGCTTTGAGAACGGGCCACCAGGCCGGAAGGGCAGGAAGCTGGTGTGGCGCTCACCTACCTCTCCCAGCCTCCAGCCCTCAGGCCTCTGCAGGGACAGCACCTGACACCATGCATTGAGGAGTAGACAGTTAGGGTCCTCATGGGCTCTCGGGGCGGGCTGTTAGGGTCCTCGTGGGTTCTTGGCAAAGCCACATTCCAGGGGGCTGTGCCCCTGCCGTGCCCCTGACCAGCAGGATGAGTGCGTGGGCAGAAGTGCCATCCTGGGCCCTGCTGAGAATGGGTGCGACCTGGTGCCAGGCCCTCATGAGCCAGTGTTTCCCCAGCTTGCAGAACGAGGACCCGTGTCTTCCTTGTGGTGTGTGTATTTAGAAATGAATACAAGTGTCATGTTCTCTAACCATATCAGAAGTAAGCTAAAAATCAGTAACAGGTATCTGAAAATCCCTAAGTATTTGGAAATGAAATATACCTCTAAATCACCCACAGGCCAGAGGGGCCCCCAGGAGACGAGGCACCAGCTACTAGAACCAGACGCAGTAACACGTGTTCGGGAGCCAGGCTGGCCAGGTGCCCAGAGCTGAGGCCCCCAGTGGTTCCAGTGAAGGAGTGAAGCCCACAGGAGCACCAAGGGCCTGAGGACGCCGACACGGAGACAAAGGAGAGGCTGCGAGGGGACAGACGGGGAAGATGAGGCCTGGTCTTGTGCCAAGAAAGGCCCATGCAAAAGGAACAGTGAAGGCGGGCAGGGGGGTGCCGTGTCTGGGTAGCCAGGTCACCTGTTCCAGGGAACCCCCGGCTCAGCCAGGCCAGCGCAAGGCTGGCGGCCGTCTGGGGTGGACACTGGCTCAGCCTGAAGGCCAGAGCCACAGATGCTTTCCAAGAAATGGGCGAAAGCCTGTGTCTCTGCCAGGAGGGCAGCCAGGGTACAGGGGGCTCGAGGACCACAGTGCTGAGCCCCAGCACACCCTGCTGTCCCCAAACTGCCTGCACTAGAGTGGCTGGGCCACCGGGCAGCGGCCTGACCCTGGCCAGGCAGAGGCTCCCTGTACGCTGCCCAGCATCTCAGGACAACAAACCACAGCAGCCTGTGTCTGGCTCTACAGTTAGAAACAGAACTTTATTCCTCCCAGGGCTGAGACGTGCACTTGGGGACCAGCCACACGTTCAGTTTGCAGGGCCATCCCTGTTCCCCGCAGACTTGGTTGGTCAGCGGCCAGCAGCTCCCTGGCCTGTGGCTGCCTCTCACCAGCAGGGTCACGGGCTTCTGGGGAGTGCCTGTCCTGGAACACAAGAACACCCAGGTGGTGGGGTGCCCCTGAGCCCAGCCAGACCCCCAAGCAGTGCTGGGACAGACAGACGGGAACCAAGTCCGCCCTGGTGCCAGCCACTCCCAGTCTGCTTGGTGAATCCGATCCACATGTGCTAAGGCCCAGGGCACCTGCCGTCGGAACCAGGGCCCCAGCAGTGAAAAGCCAGCCTGATGCTCTGTGGCTGGTCACAGTGGGGAGAGGACCGAGTGATGCACAGGAACCCGCGCCACCGGAGTACGGCGGCCAGGGGGGAGCCGGGGCCCCAGCAAGGGCAGGGAATGAGCCTTGTGGTCACGGGGCAATGGTGCCAAGGCCCGAGGCATGGGAAGCTTCAATGCTTCTCCCCACAGAGGGCCCCCATGACTCTGGACCTGCCCTCAAGGCCCACATAGTCCCAGCCCCCAACCTAACCCCACACACCTGCTGTCAGCACCAAAGCAAAGAGCAGAGGGAAGCTGGCGTCCCCCGGCTCGGACGCCTCTCCCCCGCCGGGTCACAGGACAGTGGCTTCCCACTCAGGCTCACCTGCTACTCACACCAGCCACCTCCGCTTCCGGGTGTGCCTGGCATGCCGGGTTCTCAGCACATCAAGGTCGTCAACATCAGGGTCATCAGAAGCACCCTGGCAGGGGGAGGCAGAGCATTGGCCGGAGTCTGGGGCTCCCTGAAACAAAATCCAAGCAGTGGGGCTGAGTGACCCCCATAAGCCATGATGGGCGGGGAAGGGGCAGGGAGTGAGGAGAAGCCCTGTGGGCAAGTGTCCCACTTGGGATGGGGCCCCCCAGCTGGGGCCGGAGCTGCTCCAGGCACTCCTGAGGCCACGTGTGACTTGCTTCCCACTGCACTCTCCCTCCCTCGGGGGCTCCAACCCCGTCTAAGCCGTCCCCATGGCCAGCCTTCTGCTCCCCCACAGGCTGGCCATCACTCATGGCTGTGGCACGGGGGCCTCTTCCCCTGGCCGGCCGGGGTCCTCAGCCCGCTCCTGGGCACTACTTTCTCCCTCACTTCAGCACAGAACTCTCGAGGCACAACCGTGGGAAGAGACGGGCAGCCCCTGCCATCCTCCCCACAGCAGGCCCACGGCTCCAGCGGGGGCTGCCTGCTTCTGGCGATTTCTCAGGGAGGCCAGCCCCCTGGTGGCTGCAAGTGGACACCTGGCAGCAAGGGAGGAAGCCTCCCAGGCCACGTCTCCTCACGGTTTCTCCTCCAGGGTTTCGAATGTGGTTTTGCCTACAGAACTTGGAAAACTCTTCCCAAGTATACTCAGAAAGGTGACAGCAAGAGGGACCTCTGGGACCCTAGAAATGCAGGACGAACACACCCTCTGCTGTGCCTGGGGCCCACCCCGCAGCACACAGTGTGGCATGTGTGGCCCAGAGCCGGGTCCGCATCCGCTCCCAGAGCTTCTGGCTCAGACAAGAGGACCTGGCTGGGCAGCAGCAGAATAAGGCCCCTCTCCTATTTTCCACACTGCCCCAAAGGACGGCAACTTCTGCAGAATCTACACGCAACCGGCCAGGCAGGAGCCAGCTTCCTCCTCCTGAGACACCCGGCAGCCGGCCCTCCTGCCCGCAACTTCCACCAACCCCCACCCCGCCGCCTGCCATGGGGAAGTGGGGCTGGGCACCCACTTTACCTGAACGAGCTGCCTGGCCCCTTCTGCGAGTTCCAGCTCACTCAGGTCTTCCTCCTCACTCTCAGAGCCCACCATCGAAGCTGCTGAGAGGGTGGTGCGGATGCCATGGGGAGCCAGAGTGGCCAGGAGTGCAGGGAGGGTGAAGGCTGCCAGGAACCGTGCCCGCAGCAGGAGGTAGGCGGGGTTGTCCTGGAGCTGCCCCTGCACCAGCCCCCGTGAGGCCTGCAGCACTCCTGTTGGCTGCTGAGTTTGGACCCCGGCTGGGAGGCGAACCAAGGAGGCAGCCTTGTGCTCCAGGGCCTTCTTGTGGAGCAGGAGGCCAGCCAGTGCCCGCAGGCTGCACAGGGCTGGGGGCTGGTAGGGCAGTCTGCTCACCAGGGGAGGCACATGCACCCCCCGCCGACCCCCCAGCCACTCCTGTGTGGCTGTCTCGCCCTCCTCGGACAGCAGGCCCAGGTCCAGGGCCCCCTTCTCAGGCCCAGGCTGTGGCAGGGGTGGTCTCTCCAGGCCCAGAGGACCCCTGGGCTCCTGTGTCCCTGAGGGGGACCCTGGTGTCCCGGCTGGCTCACTTGCTGGGATGGCACCACCAAGGTCTGGCAGCCTCCTGGGCCAAAGGGGTTCTGCTTCAGGGGGGTCAGTCTGGGTGGATGTCATGGGTGCAGGTATCTCCCTGGCCACCTGGGCCTCTCCAGGGACAAGGGCCACACTGCCGTCCACTTCTGCAGGACTTTGGGAGGGGGCCTGTGTGGGAGGGGCTGGTGGGTCTGTCCTGCAGGAAGGCTCTGGTTCCACGTTCATACTGGCCACAGCCCTGGGGTCCTGGGCCACCTGAGTCTCGGTCAGGGGAGGCAGCAGAGTGGCCAGCAGCCCTGTGGGGCCAGGGGTCCCTACGGGCCTGGGAAGGCCCACCACAGCTGGCACAGGAACAGGGAGGAGCCCCTGGGCTGTGAGCACCCAGGTGACAGGCAGGGGGACACTGGCCACCACACCTGGTCCTCCTACATGAGTCAGGCTGAGGGGCTGGACAGGCGGTGGGGCAGGGCTGGGGGCTGCAGGGAGGAAGGGCGGCGCCTCAGGCAGGCCCTGCTTCCGGGATGCAGCGGGGGCCTGAGACTGTCCGAGGCCACTCCCGGGGCAGCTCACAGAGACCTGGCCGGGGCTCAGGGAAGGGGCTGTGCCCTCAGCCCCCGTGAAGGCAGGAGCGAGGGGCAGGGCTTGCAGGGTGGAGAGTCTCTTGTCTGTGGCTGAAGTTCCAACCTCCTGCTGGAAGCCAGAAGTGCCAGGCCTGGCTGCTGCGGGAGTCCCAGGCCCAGAGAGTGGTGCATTTGAGACGGCGGGCCCGGGGGCCGGGCGGCAGTGCGGGACGTGTGGTAGAGGGGGCTGGAGGACCACAGGCGAGGAGACCAGCAGCTGGGACGGCAGCACCACTGGACCCCGGGCGGCCTCTCTGGCACGGGCCTCCTGAAGCCGCTTCTCCTGAAGTAGCTCTGACACGGTCTTGCGCTTGGGCCGGGGGCCGGTCGGAGCCAGTGGGGACACCTGGGGCAGTGTGCACTCTGCCCGGCTGGACGCCCGTCTCTGGCTCCCTTTGTGGCTGGCACTCTTTGA